TCTAAAATTTCTTTCATAAATATTTAATTTTGTATCTTTACAAGATGAGGACTTCTCAAAAAAAATAACCATGATATCATCACTATACCTTAAAAGCTTCACTCATGTTATTAAATAATCCAGTTTGCTAAGCTTTTAAATTGTTTCTTTGTTAACATTTTGAATCATGACCCAAACATGGTTCACACATCGTGCTGAAATGTCTTTTAAGCCTCTACTAGTCCTGGTATGGCACTGTGGGTTAGTGCACTGGACTGTAAGGTCGGCTTGAACCTTAGGTCAATAGTACAAGCTCACCAGCCACATTTCTGGAAACCCTAACAGAGTCCTGGTGTGGTGCTGTGGGTTAATGCGCCAGACTGAAAAGTTGTTTGAACTGCAAGGTCGGCAGTTTAAGCTCACCAGTTGCTGCTCCTCAGAAACCCTGTATAGGGTCGCTATGGGTTGGAACTGACTCGACGGCACTAAACAACAACAACATACAGGGTTGGAATTGACTCGATAACACTTAACATCAACAGCAACAACTAGTCTATAGGCCCCTCCATTTCTTTTACTGTTTCCCTTGCAGAAAACGAAACTTAGTTGTTTGTCCTTTAGATCTTCTCATGATCTAGATTTTTCTGATGTGTTCCCATGGGGACACATATTCCTCTGACTTATGTATTCTGATACATTTGGAATTGTATCTGAGGCTTTTTCTGATCCAGGTTTGATTATTTTGTACAAGGCTATGTCATAGGTGATAATATTTGTATTAACTATCGTTTCATAAAAAATTACCCTAACAGTTAGAGATTTAAAACAATAAACATTTATAATACCACACACATAATTCCTGTGGTGAAGAATTCAGAAAGAGCTTAGTTGGTGTTTCTGGCTCAGGGTTTCTAATGAGGTAAGATTTCAGCTGGTGGTGTCATCATCTGAAGGCTTAACTGAGAAAGATAGACATGCTTCCAAGTAGCTTCACTAACTGACAAGCTGGTACTGACTTTTGGTAGGAGGCCTCGGTTTCTTACCAGATGGACCACTCTTTAGGACTGCTTGTTTGCCCCAGAGCAAGATCCAAAAGAGAGCAAGGTGGAAGCCACAGTGTTTTATGATCTACTTTGGATGTCACACACTGTTACTGTGCAATATTTCTATTGGTTACAAAAGTCAGCCTCATTGTGAGGGAGCCCTACACAAGGATATGAATACTGGAAAGTAAGGACCATTAGAAGTAATCTTGGAAGCTGGCTACCATGGTATTCTTCTACCAGAGGGTTCAAAGCTCTTTTGTGATGCTAGGTCCCAACTACGTAAAGAGTTATACCATTTTTAGTTACTAACCTGGAGACTATACCCTAGGAAAGAATTACTTAATTCACTTTTGTTTGTTGTTGTGTGTCTTTGAGTCAGGTTAGACTCATAGTGACCTTGCACAGGGTTTCCGAGAGCAGTTGGTAGGTTTGAATGGCTGACATTGTGGTTAGCAGTTCAGTGCTTATCCTACAGCACCATACCAGAACCTAATTCATTAGGTGTTGTAAAATGGTTATAGTCTTTTTTTTTTTTTTTTCATTTATTAGCTAGAATACATCTAAGAGAAGAGTACAAGAAGACAAAAACATCAACAACAAAAACCACTCTCTACTATTTGGTTACTTAGTAGTAGAGTTTGTATAGAAAAGTCACGATAAATATTTGATTCTTTTCCTTTATTTATCAATTTTCAAAGTAGAGTTGGTTTCCTAGAATCATCTGATAATGACCAATTAGATGTCTTTAAAAATTATAAAGTTGTGAATCCAAGCATATTTGATATTTTAATTCATTGCAGATACTTTCTTGTTGTTAGGTGCCATTGAGTCAGTTCCAACTCATCATGACCCTATGCCCAACAGAACAAAACACTGCCTGGTCCTGTGCCATCCTTACAATTGTTGTTATGTTTGAGCCCATCGCTGTTGCCACTGTGTTAATCTAGCTCCTTGGGGGTCCTCCCCTTTTTTGCTGACTCTCCACTTTATGAAGTATGATGTCCTACTCTAGGGACCTGTCCCTCTTAATAACGTGTCCAAATATGAGAAACGAAGTCTTACCATCTGACTTCTAAGGAACATTCTGTCTGTACTCCCAACAAAGATTTGTGCGTTCTTCAGGTAGTCTATGGTACTTTTAATATTCTTCTCCAACACTATAATTCAAATGCATCAATTCTTCTCGGTCTTCTTATTCATTGTCTAATTTTCACATGCCTCTGAGGCGATTGCAAATACCGTGGCTCGTGTCAGATGCACCTTAGTCCTCAAACTGATGTAATTCCACTGTAGTAAGTTGAATAATGGCTACCCCAAGTTGCTAGTGCTCAAATCTCTAGCCCTTTATATGGTAAAAGAAACGTTGTAGATGTGATTAAGTTAAGGTTTTTGAGATGAGGTGATTAGCGCGATTATACAAGTGGTGGTTGGTGGTTATGTGCCGTGGAGTCGGTTCTGACACATAGCAACTTTGTACAGGGTTTCTGAGGCTATAAATCTTTATGGGAACAGAAAGGCTCTTCTTTATTCTGCGGAACAGCTGGTAGTTTCGAACTGCTGACCTTAAGGTTCGCAGCCCAATTCGTAACCACTACACTACCAGAGTATACAAGTGGATCTATGTAATTACAGGAATCCTTCTAAAAAGGAGACAGAATATCAGAGGAGGAGGTGATGTGATGATGAAAGTAGAAATTGGAACTATGTGCTTTGAAAATGAGGATAGGGCCACAAGTCAAGGAAAGAAGGTGGCCACTAGAAGCTGAAAAAGGGAAGGAAAACTTCCTCCCTTTAGAGTCCTGGTGTGGCGCTGTGGGTTAATGAGCTGGATTGCAAAGTCGTTTGAACTATAAGGTCGGCAGTTCAAGCTCACCACTTGCTCCTCCGAAACCTATATAGGGTCAATATGGGTTGGAACTGACTCAACAGCACTTAACAACAACAACAGCAGTCTTCACAAGGAACCAGCTTTGAGGATATTAGTGAAACAAATTTTTGACTTCTGACCTTCAGAACTGTAAGAATAAATTTGTACTGCATTAGTACATTTGTTACAATCCCTATCCTTGGTCAATGGGATTTGCTTCAAATTGGTTATTTAATACAATAAAACGTTCCAATAGCTTGCATATTTTCTGCCCCAGACCCAGAGTTAGCTATTTCTCCAAAGAATCTTGGTTCCTTTTAGTTGGAAATTATATTTTGAGAACATGATCTGGGTTTTGGCCTTTTTTAGAAATGAAAAAGTGCTACAGTTCTATATCTTTTATCAGCATATGCTTAATTTCCTCTAAATTTTAGATTTTTAGATTCCAACTAGATATGGAGTTATGCCATTTTTGGCTACTAACCTTGAAGCTATATACAGGAATTTCAAGTAGCTAAAGATGTCAGCTTGAAGACTAAGGTGCGCCTGACCCAAGCCATTGTTTTTTCAATAACCTCATATACATGTGAAAGCTGGACAGTGAGTAAGGAAGACTGTAGAAGAATTGATGCATTTGAGTTATGGTGTTGGAGGAGAATATTGAAAGTGCCATGGGCTGCCAAAAGAACCAACAGATCTGTGTTGGAAGAAGTGCAGCCAGAGTGCTCCTTGGAGGCCAGGATGGCCAAACTTTGTCTCTCATACTTCGGACATATTGTCCGGGGGGACCAGTTGCTGGAGAAGGATATCATGTTTGGTAAGGTGGAGGGTCAGAGAAAAAGAGGAAGATCCCCAACAAGATGGATTGGCCAAGTAGCAGCATCGATGGACTGAAGCATGGCAACAGTTGTGAGGTTAGCCCAGGATCGGGCACTGTTTCTTTCTGCTGTGCATAAGGTCACTATGAGTCGATACCGACTCAATGGCACCTAACAACAACAACAATAAGAAGTATTAAAGGATTAGCTGCCTTTCTAAAATGGAGTAGAAGTTTTGAAATGAAATACAGATTATACACAATGTAATGACCATTGTTAGGGCCGAAAACATTTTCTTGAGCTGTAGTTTGCTATAGATGAGTACATTTCCAAACCTAATAGGGGCAGAAGATTAATAAATTGTACCCCTGAAGAGTTACTGTTGTTAACTACTGTAGAGTTGGTTGTGACTCACAGTGACCCTGTATAGGTTTCTAAGGAAAGGCTGGTAGGTTTGAACCACCAACCTTGCAGTTAGCAGTCCAGTGCTTATTGTACAGTAGCATACCACGGCTAGACACCCAAAAGTAGGACTACCGCCACTGCCCCATGTCTGGGGCTTATCTAGGCCTAATCTGCCCCATGACTAACCCTGTTGAGCAGATTGGATTGCTAATTGCAAGGTCGAAAGTTCAAACCAACCAGCTACTCTGTGTAAAAAGATGAGACTTTCTGCTCCTGTAAATATTTACAGCCCTGGGAACCGTATAGCAGGTCACTACTTGGGTTTGATTTGTGTTTGGTGTACTGGTCAAGGAGTCATTTTGACACTGTGGGTTAGGTATTGGGTTGTTAACCACAAGATTAATGGTAAAGATTTATGGTCTTGTTGGAATCAACTCCATGGCAGTGGGTTCTGACTTGGCAGTAGTGGATTTGGTTTTTTTGGTTTGTGTTTAGGTCAGCTTTGTGGATTCAGGTTTCTGGATTATGAAAAGTTGTATTCAGAGCTTTTGGAGAGAATTGTCCTAGCTCTTAGAGAACTAGGATTGGTTTTGTAATTACTGACTGGGAAGTGTTTTTGCTTTGTTTTTAAAGCTCCAGTCACTTTCATTTGTATCAAGTGTTCAAAAAGAGTAAATTCTAAATCATTTTCCTTTCCCTCCTTTACAGGAAGTGCTTACATATTTAAAACACAGACATACACACACAAAAGGAGGAAATAGTTGAATAGGAACTCAGAAATCACATGACTGATGAGTAAGTTAAATATTTTCTGCTTACGCAAAGAGGAGTCTGATGATTAGAGTTACCAATCCTCCTTTAAACTTTAAAAATTTGGAGATAATTATGTTCCTATTTATGCTTTTTTCGACACTGTTTCCTTCCATATTTACTGATCTTGAGAAGCAACACTGGATCTGCAACTCCTCTGATTTAAGTGTTTGGTACACCTACTGTGGTAAGTAAAACAGCAACAAGAAGTAGCTTAAGTCATTGCGATCGTGAGTTTTTATAGGAATTTTGCTGTTGCCTGGACACAGGAAACAGCTGTGTATTTCAGCTGCTGCTACTGACAGGAAAAGTGATGGCTGGGAACTGCCCTGTGTGGGTTTTCTCCATCACAGGGCTCACGGGGCTCTAATTTGTGTTGCGCTTGACCTCCAAATACTTCTGTAGTTCCTGGTGATCAGTTATCTCTTCCTTTAGCTTAGATTCAAATTCTTACCATTTTCAGTGGAACTGTCTGCTTCTAAGATTTTGCCCCAGCCCCAAGACTTACTGGCTCTTCCTCTTGAAGAAGTAGGACCAGCTCCAGCTGCCTCCGGTGGTTGGTTTCTGCTCTGGGCTGTGATTTTTTAGGGCTCTTGAAATCATATCCCTAATTGGATATGCTAAAAATAACCCAAACTCGGCCCCCTCTCCTTCCTGGCCGGCGGCATGCTTGCAGCGTTCACTGAACTTGGCTGCTGCTGCTGAAATGACCCTACATGTGATGGCCATTCATTGGGGGCATTTCTGCTTCTGCTTTCGGAAGAAAGTGTTTGACCAGTGAGTTGTGGTCTGGGCCTCCTCAAGCAAAATGCACCAGTCCCTCACGCATTGCCCCTGCTGGCATCCAACATGCGCCCTATTTTAAGACTTCAAAGAAATGAACCTCGACAATTTTAAGGGTAAGTACCGGGTCGCTATGGATCGGAATCAACTCCATGGCACTTCACAATAACACAACTTGGTAAACTACTACCGTTTGGACTTCACCTTTCTTTGTCATACGGAAATTGTGGCTTTTAGTGACAAAGCCAATGAATTTTATGACTTAAAACTGTGAAGTCATTGCTGTTTCGGTGAGTTCCCACTTTAACATCTAGCCTGGGTAAAATACACCAAGGAAGGACGGCTGCTGTTTTCTGGTTTTTGTTGAACTTCACTGTTAATGCTGGTGTGAAATGCTATCTCATTGCTGTTTTCATTTGCATCTCTCTAATGGCGAATGATTGTGGACATTTCTTCATATATTTGCTGATTGAGTGGTTGTTGCATTTTGTCAAATGCCTTTTTGGCATCAATCGATAGGATCATGTAGTTCTTTTCCTGTTTTTTTTGTTTTTAATATGGTGGATTACATTGATTGCTTTTCTAATATTGGCTTGGGAGTTCACACATCACCCTGAACTTCAAACCTGTCAGCTCATCTTTTTTTCTCTCTCATTCCACAGTCAGCAGGCATTGGTGGAATATGGTAAATCTCAGCCCATGTCTTTTTTGCTGCAATGCCCCGCCCCCCCCTTCCACTCATAAGTCAACCAGGATGGTTGCCATCAAGTATACAGGACCACTTGTGTGTGTCATTTGAGTTTCAGTTTTAGACAGGAGGTTAACCTGATGCATTGGCTTCTCTTGCCTTGATGGCTCCAGGGCAAACAGGTTGCTTGATAATGTCACAGCCAAACAATCTGCTTTTTTTTTTTTTCTCTCCCCTCTCACCCACACATTGGTCTTTCTCTTAAGAAGTATCTTCTTTTCCTCTAGCCATTCGGGTTGGTCTGCATGTCTTTTCAGTGGGGAAGTTCCACCTCTGAAGGCTCAGGATTCTACCTGAGGCCCCATACTCCACCAAAGCTTAACAAGAAGCCTATTTTCCTGTGTACAATTAGACCCCTTTTAGATAATCCAATCTGTCATAGGCTGAAGGTGGGCTTACAAGCTTTCTGTAATTATCTTCCCCAGTTATCCTTTCTATCCAACTTAGATGTTTATATTATACTAGTAGGCAGGGGAACCAAAGTGGGGATACTTTTTGACTCACCCTTGTATATTTGCTTGACAAAGGATATTTATACAAGAGTATTTGCCTTTGCTGCATATATATCTATGAATGTTGTAGAGCATACAGTTGGCAAAGTTATGAAAACTTCTTAGGCATAACCAAACATCTTACGGGAATGAGTCATAGGTCCTGGAGGCTCCAGACCATAGTCTTCTGGGACACCTGTCAATTGGCTTAATAAAGTCTACAAAGACATTGTTTTACATCTTCTTTGGTGAGAAGTCACTGGGGATTTAAAAGTTTGTGAGCTGCCATCTAAGGTGCATGGCAGGAGAAGAGAAGAGTGATTAAAATCAAAGACAAATGAACCACACATACATTAACTTTCATGTCCCTGAGACCAGAAGAACTAGATGGTGCCCAGCTACCACTTCAAATTACTCTGAAAGAGATCTCATTAGAAGGTCTTGGATAGAGTGGGAGAAAAATGTGGAACAAAACTCAAAATCATAACAAATACCAGGCTTATTGGTTAGCTAGAAAGTGGTAGAACCCCTGAGACTATGACCCTTGATCGCTGTGGAGCTAAGCTTACCCCCGTGGTTCAATTTTCAGTCAAACAACAGCTAGGTCTGTAAAGGGAACAATGAAACTAGTGAGGGCTGCACTCCTTAGAGTAACCAAGCATTTGAGATCAAAAGGGCAGCATTTATATCCAAGGACAAAGTTCAAAAGGTTAGGAATGAAAGAAAAATGGAAACGGAGGAGAACGTAGTGTGGAAGTTGCGACATGATGTTCCATTGTGGTAATTGTAATAAATGAGATGAAACAAAATGTGTATGAATTGTTGCATGCAAAACTAATGATCTGCTCTGGAAACCTTCACCCAGTTTACAAGAAAAAGTGTCAAAAACTTCATTTTTAAATGATTGTGTATTACTTCAATAAATAAACTTGTCATAATTGGTTTATTCAATTACTCTTGGACATTTCACTTTTTTTTTTTTTTGCTTCTCTTCTTTGAAATTTTTTATCATAAACCATGCAGTAATGAACATCTTTTGCCCAAATGTTTGTGAACATCTATGATTACAAAAATAAGAGTTAACCCAGTTTATTTACATAAGTAAAGATTTACAGTCTCAAAAACTCATACAGGGTCACCATGAGTCCTAACCCCTGGTACCTGTGAATGTAACGCATATCAACTTGATGGCAGTGGGTTTGGTTTTGGGGATTCAGATGTAAAGCTAACAAAACTGGTGTAGTCTCTTTCCCCTCCTCCTGAGCACCGTAAAGAAAGAACCATAAAGGTGTGTTTTTTCTCCACTTGTCCACTGAATATTACTCTTTGGGAATACTGGTCGTTATTTCATTCACTCCTCCATTTCCTCACGTTATAGCATTTATGAGATCTGTAATTATTCAACGCACATTAAAGAAAATTTTTTTTGACTAATGGGATATACAAAAAAGGTAAAGAATAGAAAAAAGGTGGGCAGTGGAGAAATCAAACCAAATCCATTGTCGTCGAGTCATTTCTGACTCATAGCAACTCTATAGGACAGAATAGAGAGGCCCCATAGGGTTCACAGATCTGTCATCTTTATAGACGCTGACAGCTATATCTTTTTCCTGCAGAGCAGCTAGTTGGTTAGGACCACCAAACTTTTGGTTAGTAGCTGAGTACTTAACCACTGCACTACTAGAAAATAACAGGGACAAAAGAACAGGTTAAAAGAACTAAAATGGAACAAGCAATTTTATAAAAATAGGTTCTAAGGACATATTTATCACTACTTTCAGTTTTTCTCATTATCGACACAGATGGTGTCTTTTGGAGACTGATAGTCAGAATACTATACTTATTAGAAAGACGTCCTTGTGGCATAGTGGGTTATATGTTGGCTGCTAATTATAAAGCTGACAGTTTGAATCCACTAGTTGCTCCTTGGGAGAAAGTTGAGGCTTTCTGCTCTTGTAAAGATTATAGCCTTGGAAACCCTATACAAAATCACTAGGAGTTGGAATTTCCTTGACAGCACATCGCTACTACTAACACCATACTTATTAAGGATGCTGTATAATAGATTTTACTGATATTACCTTTATCCCATTTAGATAAAATGAAACACTCTATTTCAATCAAACTTGAACCCTGTTTAACACTGAAGGGAGGCAGAGGATATTTGCAGCTTTCCTACATTCCAAGTAAGTATAATTTTTGTTCTTTTGTAGTTTAACTAAAAGACCTCAAGAAACATTCACAATATATGGGTGTGTTCCAATTATACTTGTATTAGTTATCTGTTGCTATGTGACACATTGCCACAGGAGTTCATTAGTTTGAAGATAGATGTGTCTTCACATGACTGCTCTTCTCTGTCTCCAATTCTTCTTTATCATAAAATGCAATTCAGATTGGATTGTTGTTGTCGGTACCGACTCATAGTGACCCTATGCACAACAGAACGAAACAGTCCTGGGCCAACTTCACAATTGTTGCCACGTTCAAGCTCATTGATGCTGCCACTTTGCCAATCCATCATGCTGGGGGTCTTCCTCTCTTTCTGTGGCCGTCCACTTACCAAACATGATATCCTTCTCCAGTGACTGGTCGCTCCTGAATTCCAGTATTATCATCTCTTGTTAACTGATAAGATCATCAAAGGCACTATTTCCAAAACATTCTATTCATAGGTACCAGTGGTTAGGACTTCGACATCCATTTTTGTAGGAAACAACTCAATCCATCACACCCTGTATGTGGTACTTATAGGCAGGGTTGTTGTTAGGTGCCATCGAGTCAGTGCCGACTCATAGTGAACTTATTACGCACAGCAGAACGAAACGCTGCCCGATCCTGGGCCAACCTCACTACTGTTGCCACACTTGAGTCTATCAATCCTACCACTTGGCCAATGAAGTAGTATGAGTTTTGTCCTTCCTATGACACTTTCCCCTTGCAAGGCACAAATCAGAGGGCAGGCTGCAGGCCAGACAAGAAATATCAAACTACAAGTTGCTTACTACTTATCCAGAACATTTCAACTACCTGGACAAAAGTAACAAACCCTCTGGGGTAGGAAACCAGGGCAAAGGGAACCTTCAGGGTTTAGGGGGAAAAATCTTTATCACTGTTTTCCCAAAAAGGAGCCAAAAACCAAGGCAAAAGGTCACATAAAGGAACTCATTTCACCACAAATGTTGAGAGTGAAGAGAGGAGAATTGATGATACACTTTAAGAAAAGGGGTCAAATAGTAGACTGAGATAATGGATCAAATAGTTTAGAGGCCATCTAGAAGAGAATGTAGCACCAATACCAAAGGAAGGAGAAGATTTTGATGAAGGACATGGCAATTATACTTAATACAATCAAGTACAAGTTGGAAAGGTTTTCCACTGGTATTTCATGAGTTATGGTCACGTATTATTATTATTGTGATTCTGGTGTGGCGCTACAGGGTAAGAAAGCGCCGGATTGCAAACCACAAGGTCGGTGGTTTAATTCTCCAGCTGCTCCTCAGAAACTCCATACAGGTCACTGTGACTCAGAACTGACTCGACGGCACTTAACAACAACATTATTCATATTATTATCAGGACTTCTGGTGTGGCGCTATAGAATAAGCACTGGACTGCTAACTGCAAGGTTGGCAATTCAAATCCACCAGCTGTTCCTTGGAAACCCTAGACAGGGTCACTATCAGTTGGAACCAACTTGACACCACTTAACAACAACTTTATTAGTAAAGCATTTTCAATCAGGCAGTGTTACAATAACGATTTTTCACTGTAAAAAATATTGTACATCTTTTCTAATTAGAACAACTAATTAATTTGGAAGAGTTGAGTAAAATTCATTGTTTATTAGAATCTTTAATGTTAATTCTTTTCGTAATAGGGAATTCATAAGTAAATAAAAAATAGCCCATATACTTAATTTTTAATTAAAAGCTTAATTTCATTCTCCAAGAAGTATTTCATAAAAAATTCCTAAAACTTTGACATCAGTTGATTGCCCTTACTTCCTCTTCTTCCCATGCCTTTGTTCTGTATTTCTTAGCAGAATTGTGACTAGAACCAGACATTTTATGTTTCCATAAGCAAGTTATGAAAATTCCTCTATTTTTTTTTGCAGCATATATAATTTTTTACTGTAGAGTATTCTATTTGAATAAAATATACTAGTTGCCTTCTTAGAATTTTAGTTTTCTTATCTGAAGCCTGAGAAGAAGAATAACAATTTATAAAGTTATAAAATGAGGGGACTTCAAAAAGTTCTTGGAAAAGTGGAGCTAAAAGATAATGGAAGTTTCTATGAATTTATGGAAGCCCCCTCATATACCACTCATCTGTCAATTTGTTGAACTATTGTGGTTTGTAAGGAGCTCTGGTAGCATGGTGGTGTTGGAGGAGAATATTGAAAGTGCCATGGGCTGCCAAAAGAACCAACACATCTGTGTTGGAAAAAGTGCAGCCAGAGTGCACCTTGGAGGCCAGGATGGCCAAACTTCGTCTCTCATATTTCAGACTTATTGTCAGGAGGGACCAGTTGCTGGAAAAAGATAGCATGTTTGGCAGGGTGGAGAGTCAGAGAAAAAGAGGAAGACCCCCCAGCGAGATGGATTGGCAAAGTGGCAGCATCAATGTGTTCAAGTGTGGCAACCATAGTGAGGATGGCCCAGGATCGGGCAGTGTTTCGTTCTGCTGTGCATAAGGTTGCTATGAGTTGGCACTGACTTGATGGCACCTAACAACAACAACAATGAAGACCAGTAATACAACTATTATTCAAATCTACACATCAACCACTAATGCCAAAGATGAAGAAACTGAAAAGATTTTTTTTTACCAATTTCTGTAATCCGAAATTAAGCGGACACGAAATCAAATGCATTGATAATTCTTGGTAATTGGAACACTAGAGTTGGAAAGAATAGCCTTCATAGCAGAAACAATGTTAGAGATTGTGAATAGGCTTGACAGCACTTGACAATTATTTGCAGACTAGTGGATAGTTACATGGTAACATGGAGTATCTTCAAGTTTTGTCACTTTTGCTGATGTCAGATGTATGTTGACTGAAAGCAGAGAACACCTGCATTTTACTGGCTAACTAAGCAAAAGCATTCAGTAGTGTGAACTATAAGAAATTATGAAAAACATTGCAAGGAATGGAAATTCCAGAGCACTTAATTGTGTCATGCAGAACCTACACATTGACAGAGAAGCCGTTGTTCAAACAGAACAAGAGGAAACTGTGTGATCAAAATCAGGAAAGATGTGCATCAGTATTGTATTCTTTTACCACACTTATTCAATCTGTGTGCTGAGCAAATAATCTAAGAAACTGGCCTATATGAAGAACAGAACACCAAGATTGGAGGACGACTCATTAACAACCTATGTCATGCAGACGACACAACCTTGCTTTCTGAAAGCAAAGAAGTCTTGAAACACTTGCTAATAAAGCTTAAAGACAACAGCCTTCAGAATTTTTGTTGTTAAGTGCCCTCGAGTCAGTTCCGACTCATAGCAACCCTATGTAGGATTTCCGAGGAGTGGCTGCTGGGTTTTGAACCGCTGACCTGCAGTTAGCAGTTCAGTGATTATCCTACAGCGCCACACCATAATGCATATTGATATTATTTATAAAAGAAACTTTTATTTGGGAAGCTAATGGATTTTGTTTTTCTTTTTGAGGGAGAGACATAAAAAAACTGTATTTTAATATCTATATGTATCTCAAAACCATTGAGTTTCCAATGCGTACAGAAGTTGTTTGCCGAGGATTTGATGATCAATATTCTTTTTGCAGAGCTGTAAAGGGAGGTAAGCATTCATTTCATACTACTCTTCTAAAATAACATTATTTCCTGATGATAATGTTATGAAATTTAAGTACACTGAAACTATGACGTTCCTTTTCTAATTAATTCGCCATTCTAACTAAGGTTGTTAGAACTTCCAGCAGCTTAAAAATGTTTTACAATAGTGTTATTAATAGTTATTAAGATGACATTTATGTGAGTGTGTTTAAAGGGATATTAATTTTTTTACATTGTCTCAATTAATACTTTACATTTACCCTTGCTTATGGGTCTTTTTCTAAATATTTCATTACAGGAATATTGGCTTTTTTTCAGCATCTTCCTTTTTTCTCTTCACACTGTAATTACTAAGAGAATTATAAAATCACAGAGTTTAAACCTTAAAAAAAAATCACTTATTCCAAATCCATGAATTAAAAAAAAACACTTTTCTCCTTTAAAAAAAGTCATTTATTTTATTTCATCTTTTTGTTGTTACTGAGAATATATACAGTAAAAATACATTAATTCAAGTTACTACACAAAACAATTTCATGACAATAATTTCATTTTTTTTTTAATTAAATGTTTTTATTTTGCATTGAGTGAAAGTTTACAGGGCACATCATCAGCTTCACA